CAGAGAGACGAAGATCCAGAAAGAACTGCAAACCAGGAGACCAAGTGGGGCTGGTGATCTACTTCTGACCCCTCCATGATCTACTGGTAGATCGTGATCTACCTGTTGGACATACCTGCTATACACAGGCCCCGGTCATACAGCAAAGTTGCCGCGGGAGAGGCACGGATGGTGGGCAGATTATCCGGGCGCAATCACACCCCAACATCTGGGAAGTGGAGCGCACCCGTAGCTTACCGCCGACAATGAGCCTTAAAAAAACTAGTAACTCCAAGGTACTAGTAAACGTTTGCCACGGGATGCCTCCAGACGCCTGCGGCATTCCCCTCCGGTCCCTCGTTTCCCTGCCGGCGCCGAGGGAAGGACCCGTGGTGTGCCGCCAGCGCGCCTGATCGCGTCATCGCACATCAAACTGCACCGGGGCAATTAGCCACGCCTCCCCCCTGCGATATCTGGCCTGTGTGACCGGGCCATATTTACTTGAATGTCAATTCACTGAGTAAAGCCAGGTTTACGTTTGTGCAAACACACATTCACAGATACCCAGTATTATAACCTGTGAGAATGTATAGCACAGATTGTAACAACACATACCATAAGTACATCACCACCTCCTAAAATCAATGGGATAGACTCTGCTTGGATATCTGTAGGAAGACTACAAGAGAAATTTAAATGCAGAACCCAATATATGCAAAAACACATAGAAATTCAACATCTGCAGACCTTATTTTTCAGCTTGCTTGCAAGAAGGGGAGAAAGGCTGTTCAAAATACACTCATTTTGTAGCCGAAATCTTGAAGCATGCAGGACTGGTAACACATAGATTCTGTTTCTTTTAAAAAGGGCACTATTGCAAGCTAAACCCAATTTTTCTGTGTACTAGTTACTCAACTAGAATTTCTCTTTACGGCTTGAAAGTATTTATCATACACCACTTTCCCTTACAGCCTTCTATTAAAATGGGGCAGGGTTTCCAGAACCACTGTCTGCAATATCAAAAGGAAAATTCCTTCCCTTATTGAACTGGAACTAGAGATAAATGGAAATACTCACAGCCAGTCCATCTCTTCTACAGCTTGAGCTATTTCTGGCATAACACCCATCTCTGCAAACAAATAAAATGAAAAGGAGCATTAGCCATTTGAGTTTAGTGGTGGTGGTGGAAAGTGCTGTCAAGTCACAGCTGACTTAGGGTGACCCCAGGGGGTTTTCAAGGCAAGAGATATTCAGAGGTGGCCTCCATGCCATGACCCTGGTCTCCCATCCAAATACTAACCAGGGCGAACCCTGCTTAGCTTTCAAGATCTAATGAAATTGGGCTCGCCTAGGTTATTCAGGTCAGGGATTTGAGTTTAGTACAGGAAAACTTTTGTATATGTTCTGAAGGAGAAATCAATAAATGCAAGCTTGCAAGATGGCATTTGCCCATAAGGCCATAAATGCTATACATAAATATGGCTTATATAACTATATATATAACTATATAACCAGTACCATGAAATGAAAAGTTCAGTCATTTTTGATGTTCACACTCTGTAATCATCTCAGCATAGTTATTTCAAGCATGTCACTTGCTGTGCCTTCTCACAGCTCTCATATTTGTAGGCAGCCTTTTATCAGTAACTGTTAATGGAGGAGAGAGCTGATCTGCATTATAATTTGAATACAACTACAAGAAATAGCTGTTGCCACCTCCAGTTGCATCATGGGAGAGATGCAGATATTTTTCCGCTCATCCTATTCCTCTTCTTTGTTCATCTCCCCGCACACATGGCTTTTGCCCATGCAAAATAAAGTTAAATTAAATAGACAATAAAGGCTACTTAATTTAACATTAACAAAAAGAAAGTACTCTTTGCACACTCAGATGCACTCTGATTTAACAGGCCATTTTACCAATTAGGATTTTAGGGGATTGATAATTAATTATAACCCATGATACTACAAATCAATACACTCTAAAGGCTACTTTGGTACCAGAGTATTCTGGCATTACAAACGTTACAAAACAAAGTGGAATTTCTTTCTTACAATACACAGCCACTTTTATTTTAACTATATATTATTTTAATACTTATTTCAATATTCCATAAGGCAATATGCAAGCTTGCTTCATCAAAAGCAAAGGCTGACAAGAGCCAAAAATCCAAGAGATTTCCCAACTTCCAAACCTTAGACAATAATAATTATAAGAATTACACATTTAGGCTGCCATCCTAAAGGCATTTTCTTGGGAATAAGCCCCACTGAATAACATGAGATTTACTTCTCAGTAAACCTGCTTAGGACTGCTCCCTTACTCAAATTGTATCTAACCTGCTTCTGTCTTGAAGGACTCACTATAACACACTACATAAAACACTGAGTATTCTTAGTAATTAAAATAAAACCACTGACAGCACTATGAAAATATGGCCAATCCAATATAAAGGGAGAACTGTATTTTACATGACTTCTGGCACTAATAACAGCAAAACGTTGTCTTGCTTTATCATAACTGATTAAAAATAATTTATCTTTTGACAGCACGAACTGAATGAAGGTACAGTCGGAACCATCTATAATCTGAGCTGTATATCACACGAGCTCTAAGCACTGGACCTTTTCAGAGACTAAGCGCTGATGCAAAACGGGCTCCCTTTGTCTCCTTTGCGCCACGCCCAGCCGCCCCTTCCACCTCAATTCTGCCCTTTATTCTGCCTCACCGCAAAACCAATGCCTAAGCACCCCCCCCTCGAATAAAAGAAGGGGAGAAAGGCCCTTTATCCAAGCCACGTACCCGAAAAAGCCGCCATGCTTGCACTCCTCCAACAAGCCCGTGTAGTGACACCCTATCCTTGGCTTCAGAAGAGCATGCGCAGTTTGAAGTCCTACGGTTATATCCCTCCGTTCTGCACAACAGACAGCAGACTAAGGTTCCAGCAATGCAAGATTCAAAATAATTCCACATCGAATTACGAATATCTGTTTGGGTTCTATGGTGTTCAGTGGGACTTTATCTGAAGGTTTTTTGTTTTTTAAAATCATCTGTTGAAGTGGAGTGTAATCCAAGGAAGTCTGTGCTGGAATGAGATCTTTCTAGTCTTTAATGTGTCACACTAGACCCTTATTTTCACTGCAACCCTTTGGAATTATTACTCAGTCTCTGAAGTAAGTAGACACCTGACCTGGCTGTATGTTTACTGGGAAGTCCCACCGAGTTCAGTTGGAGAGGCGTGGGCTCGCTGGGTCGGCTGCAGAAGCAGGAAGACGACCAGGGCCCGCATCTCTCTGACTACTGCGGGTGGCAGGGGTGCTCTTCCACGGGCGGGGGTGGTGGGTCCGTGGCTAATGGGTGAGGAGGCGTGGCCCCCAAATACCCCACCATAGCTACGTGCCCGATCCCCATACAATGAGCTTCCAGTGCCAACTAGTATCACCACCCCTCATCAGATCAGTTTCATGCCCTGTCCATCCCTCCGTAATAAGTTTGCCTTCGAAGCCCTGAGCCACTGCGAAAAGAGGGAGCAGAAGCCCACACAAAATGGCTCACAATTACAGATCAAGGTGGGTAGCCAGCCGTGTTGGTCTGAAGCAATAGAACAAAGAGTCCAGTGGCACCTTTAAGACCAACAAGGTTTTATTCAAGGTATGAGCTTTTGTGTGCACGCACACGTCCGACAAAAGCTCACACCTTGAATAAAACTTTGTTGGTCTTAAAGGTGCCATTGGACTCTAGCCGACAATTACATTCGCTTGTTTCGCCGCTATGACAATGGTTAAAGCCGCCTCAACCCCTCCCCATCTTATGATACCACCACTGCGCACGTGCCCTATACGTCACCTCCATTCTTTTTTCTTTTTACCAGCGCCTGCTCCTTCCTACCAGACCTCTCTTAAGGTTCCGAGTAGGATTCCTCACAAGAGTGGAAAGTGAAGGCAGGAATACAAGAGAATATGAAAGCCCCCCCCCCCGCGTCCCCCCATTAAAGGGCATGCCTAGTTGCTCTCTTTTCCAGTGCTCTTCTTAAATCATTGGGACCTCGATCCCCCATCCAAATAATGACTTATTGCCTCGTCGTCAAAAAGTGATGGCAGAAAAAAAAAAAAAAAAAAAAAAGTGATGGCAGGTTGTAAAGGCAGGCAGAAACAATTAAGCATGCTGACATGTACTGAGTCAGACCGAGCCTATGTGGTCAGCAGTAAAAATCATGGATGCATGAGGATCCGTTCAAAATGGCCTAGATCCAATTTTTACCCAGCAGTCCCCTCCCCATCGGGTTTCGCGGCACGGACCAATTCTGGCTTTCGCTCAGTTTGCAGAAATGTATCATCCCAACAGCCCCGTTTTAGGGGACTTACCAAAATTAAGAACAGCAATCATGTATTGTCTATGGGCCAATCGCTTTCCTTAATTTTAGTATGTCCCCAGTTTTAGCCATGTCCACCACAAGTATATCTCAGCCACTTTAAACATATCCAAGTTTGCATTGATTCCGCTGGATGCACACGAAAGCTTATACCTTGAATAAAACTTTGTTGGTCTTAAAGGTGCCACAGGACTAGAACTTTGTTCAAGTTTGCATAGACTACAGTCCTGATAGAATTTCCTGTCCCTCTCAATTCCTTCGCTACCCCTTACTTCTGAGGAGTGCGTAGCGCAATTGTGTGCATGTCTGCTCCGGAGTAAATCCAGCTGTAGCCCATGGGTACCTGCAGTTCGGGATTTCAATTTTAGTTAAGTTTTACAGCAATCAACTAAAGCGAGGGGAGGGGGGCATACGCCTACATAATATACATTTGCAAACAATGTGCCCATTGTCCTAAAGAGCTCGCACTTTGTATTTTAAGCAAGCGGCGTACAGAGTACTCCTCAAGCGCGCATAAAAATTGCAGCCTTTCTTTTGGCACTATCGAAACTTCTATCAGACTCAACAGGGTTAAAATAAGGCCTTTTCTGAAAAGGAGGGAAAGTTTGGCCGTTCCCGGCTGCCGTAGGAGGGCCTCTGAGTGTGAATATGGCTGCTGCCACGGATAGCAAACTGGAGACCGGGGGAGGTAATGAAGAGGCAGCGGAGGAAGAAGGGGAGGAAAACATCCTTTATGACTTGCTGATCACCACCGAGTGGCCGGCCGAGACTGAGGTGCAGGTGGGTCTCTCGGTCAGCTCTTTTGCTGCAATAGTTGGGCTGAGTCCCTTGGCTGCAGAGCGGGCACGGCTGCAGAGTCACATCGCCACGTCGGAGGAGAGGGCAGGTGGGGAGGACTTCTTGCGCAGACGTAGCCGATTAGTTCGTTCCGAGCAAACAAACTCGCGCAACGAACGTGTTGTTTTTGAAATGCTTATTCCACCTACAAAGAACGGGAGCTATGAACTCCCCCAAGCTTAGAAAGCGCGCTGCAGTTATTATACGTGACTATTTCTATGTGTGATGATTTTATAATGATTGGCAGTGGCACGCAGCATGCCCGAAATCCTGAAGATTTTCCTATGTATTTTAAAGCCTAGCTAATTCAGTGGACTTTTACTTCACGATGTTTAGTATCCGAGTCCAAAAGCAACAAAGACCAACAGAAGTTTCCAGGGCGTAAGCTTTTGTCAGTCATAGGCCCCAGCCACCTGAGCTAAAGATAGGGATGATAGGCGGATTTTACGGGTGCGATCACACCGCAACATCTGGGAAGCGTAGTGCTCCGGTGGCGTCCTGCCAAAGATGCAGACTAAAAAACTACTACTTATGAGGTACTGGTTTCTGGACACCGCAGGGCAAGGGCAGGCGTCTGATTGCGTTTCCGGTGGAATCCCATGGCATCCGGCGCCTGCCGATGTTCCTTCGCAAGCAAGGGTTGTTTTCCCCCCCAAGTCTCCGCAGGATGCGCAAAAGTGCCTAACGGGGCATGCTCACAAACTTCGGTTAAAAAACCCAACCGTTTGGCATGGAAGTGGCGCCTAGCGATTGCTGCTGTGATCGCGCCGTGCCGCTTCTTTGCCGCGCTGCAGGATAGCTGTGTGATTGGCACCTCACCCCCTAACCATGGGACCTCGACAAGATGTGTGATCCGGCGGCCACGCGTTATTTTGTCCGGGGCAAACAACCACGCTTCTCCCCCGCATTTTTCAGCCCGTGTGACCGGGACCACAGTTCACTTAATCTGATGAACAAATTTAGAATCCAGTGGCACTTTAAATACCAACAAAGGTTTATTCAAGTATGAGCTTTTATGTGCGTGCACACTTTTTCAAATACACTGGAACGGTAGGTAAGGTTCAAACTTATAGACAGGGACTGAACAGCAAATTATCATGTAACATAATGATGATGTTTAAGATATGCAAAGTCAAAAATAACAGGCTAAGGTTATAAGGTCAACAGTTGTAAAGCAATAAATATGTCAGATTAGCAGATAAACATCTAAAGGTGTCTTTCCTAATTGTGAGAAGCAAACCAAGAATCTCCATTCTTTCCTCCCAGGCATGGAGATCACTCAACAGCACTTTTTGAGGTTGATGCAGTTGTCATGTTAGGAAAACATCCCAGTATTCCTTGCATTACATTCAGTATTCTAATATACTATTCTGAAAAAGGAAAAACTAAAATACAGAGAATGTATAGTCCATATTGTTGAGAATACGTATGTGAGGACTGAATGAGTTAGCATATGTAATGAGATAAGAAACCAATATCCCTGTAAGTCCTGGGGAAGTTTTTGTTTCAAGTGTTGTAATAACTTGTAGTTCAGCAATCTATCTTTCCATTCTGTTCCTGAAGTTCCTTTGTAATAAAACAGCTACCTTGAGGTCACCCATTGAATGACCTGGAAGGCTGAAGTGTTCTCCTACAGGTTTCTCAGTCTTATGATTCCTGATGTCAGATTTGTGCCCATTTATCCTCTGGCGTAGGGTTTGTCCTGTTTGTCCTATGTAGAGAACGGAAGGGCATTATTCACATTTAATGGCATATACGGTGTAGGAATTAATCTGATTAATCTGATGAAGATGAAATGAATTTTGATTCATGAAAATTTATACCTTGGAAAATTCAGGTGAATAGTTGTGTTAGCCTGTAGCGATAGAACAAAATTTGACTCAGACTCCACCATAAAGACAAAATTTTTCCAGGGTATAAATTTTCGTGAATCAAAATTCACTTTGTCAGATGAAAGCTATGATTGACAAAAGTTTATACCCCGGAAACCTTTGTTTGTGTTTATGGTGCTGCTTGTGTCAAATTTTCTTCTTCTGCTACGGGCTAACACAGCTACTCTCCTGAAACAATTTTTTTGCTGTCATTTTCAGAATGTAATTTTCAAATATTTATTTATTTATTTATTTTCTATCCCTCCCTCCCAAAGGCTCAGGGCGGCTCACATGCAGCAGACCCGAGATATAAAATACAATAAAACATATAATAAAATACAAACATTTAAACACAGTAAGACCTTCCTATAACACGGTGCTGTACCTATATTAATCATCCAAGATGGGAACAACCATCCAAATTTGGTGGCCAGCTTTCTCAGTAGCGCGGTCTCCCGCTACGCTGTCTCTGTACATCGGCCAGGCCATGCTTGCCCCCCTTTAATAGGGCAGCCGATGGTACACCACCTCGGTGGTAGGGTAGTGACGGCGGCGGCTCCTACTCGAACGCCTGGCGGAAGAGCTCCGTCTTGCAGGCCCTGCGGAACTGCACAAGGTCCAGCAGGGCCCGGATCTCCTCTGGGAGCTCGTTCCACCAGGTAGGAGCCGCCACCGAAAATGCCCTGGCCCTAGTAGGGGCAAACTTAATCTCTCGGGGACCTGGAACTACCAGGAGATGGAGGTTCCCCGATCGTAGTGCTCTTGGGGGAAACATACGGGAAGAGATGGTCCTTCAGGTAGGCCGGACCACTTAATGTAGGATTCGTGTACTGATACTGGTATTGTGCAACTGATATAATCAGTGCTCACTCATGAAAAGGTATGCTGGAATAAATTATGTTAGTTTTTAAAGTGCTCCTGGAGTTCAATGATATTTGAGTATGTTTCAGGTTTGTAATGGATGTTTTGTTTTGTTAACTTTCGATGCCTATTGGCAGCTTTTAAAATGAAAATTAGGTTTATGTAAGCTGATGTGAGTTGTTATGGATGGTATGTGAAACTTTAGTCCTATATTAAATGGTATAGGAGTTTACTTAGAGATCATAATAAAATAGTCACTTTATGTTTTTCTAATGACATAAATTATTCCCATGCTAAACAGGAATGATTAATCAATGTGGGTAGCCATGTTGGTCTGAAGCAATAGAACAAAGTTAGAGTCCAATGGCACCTTTAAGACCAACAAAGTTTTATTCAAGGTGTGAGCTTTTGTGTGCACACACACTTCATCAGATGATGAAATGGAATTACATATCATAGTTGTATATATAGGAGTGGTTTGTTAAATTAGCATGCAGAATAGTGAGGACACTTTTTTAACAGATCAAAAGAACGACAAGCTTAATTCTGTTTTGGTTCAACTGGGAGGGAAAAACAACATCTCTCCTTATTAATAAAAGCGATTTGGGGTGGCAAAGTTCTATTCACGCCAAAATTAGTTGGCCGCCTGAACTGCCATTCCAAAGGTGCTGCCTGCATTGGCTGGCTGCGTTGCGGGGTCCCACCCACACAAGCCCCAGCCACCAGCTTGCCCTCAGTATGCATGGAGCCGCCGTATAGAATGCGCGGTCTGGCGGCTGGATGCTTGGCCAAACCCCTTCCTCCCACACCCGCGCTGGTCGTCATCACCCCCGGCCGACTCGGCGACCAGCCTGCAAGTGGACGGGGGCTGGCGCACTGCTGGGATAAAGAGCCATTTAGGCGGCCCAGCGGCTGCTGGATGCAGCAGGGCGCAGCGGTATGGGGAGGGCGGAGAGGGGGGGGATGGGCCTCACTTTCCTCTGATGCGACGGGCACCCCGGCCCCTTCACCACCTGCGAGGTCATCGGCCCGAGCCTGCTCCTGCCACCGCCATCGCAGCCGTCGTGGGCCACCAAGGCCTGAGCCATGTCGGTGACCAGGCTGCGAGCGGGCGGGGGCTGGTGCACTGCCCGGCCGAAGACCCATTGAGCCGGGCCAGAGGCCGCCGCATGCAGCACAGCCCGGGGTCTGGGGGGGGGAAGCGAGCGGAAGGATCTCACTTTGATCCGACGTGACGGGTGACCCCGGCCCCTTCACCAGCTGCGGGTTCATTGGGACGAGCCCAGGCCTGCTGCCACCGCGGCTGTACTAGCCCGCCGAGGCATGCTGGCAGACAGACTGCGCGTGGAAGGGGGCTGGCATGCTGCTGGGGCGCACGGCTGTCGAGGTGCAGCAGCCGCCCAGGCAGCCAATCGCTGTCCATCGACCCTGGGGTCTGCATGGGGGGGAGAAAGCACGGGACGGGAACCCCCTGTCTTTCTAGCGCTTGTTGCCTTCTCCCTACAATGGGCTTCCCTCCTAATCTATATATATAAAAAAGAAAGTTCCCTCGGTGTAACATCAATGCCCAGGCCAAACTGGTGACCACTGAGGAAGGCCCTTAGGGGCCGAAACGCGTTTGGTCTTCAGTTGTAAAGTATTTACCCATCATATGTAGGTATAGTGGATAAGCTTTTATAGTCTGATCTTAGACAAAGTAATTTTTAATCAGGAAAGTTTTAACATGTGTAAAGTAAAGGTAAAGGTTCCCTTGCTCGAAAGCCAGTCGAATCCGACTCTAGGCTCATCTCCATTTCAAAGCCGAAGAGCCGCTGTCCGAAGACGTTTCGGTGGTCATGTGGCCGGCATGACTAAACATGTGTACACCTTAATAAATATTTGTACTTTTATATATATGGTTTAGCTTAGCCCTTTTTGGTTCGTAATTTAACAAACCACTCCTATATATCCAACTATAATATGTAATTCCATTTCATCGTCTGATAAAGTGTGCGTGCACACGAAAGCTCACACCTTGAATAAAACTTTGTTGGTCTTAAAGTCATGGTTAATGTTCAGGCCTAAGACATAAATACTAGGAAATATTTTTCTGGAGGCCCTTGCCAGCTGAGCCAGTGTGCTGATTCCAGTTGTATGGGGATGATCCAAACACGTTTGTCAGTAACGTTGACAATGTGTGAGCCAGCGTGATGTAGGGGTTAGAGTGCCAGACTAGGATCTGGGAGACCTGCCTTCAAATCCCTGCTCTGCCATGGAAGCTTGCTGGGTGACCTTGGGCCAGTCACACACTGTTGCGAACGGTGCGTCTTGGATCACCTTAGTAACCAATAACTGTTAGTCACTGAAATAAACTCCTTTACTTGCTAAATTATTGCAGTCCAGTACAAATAGAGGCCAACCTGATCAATACTCCTCCCCATTTATTCCACTTAGAGCATCAATGAGAAAGGCAGGCTGGAAATGAAGTAAGCAAGTATTTTTCTGTACTTTGAAATAATTCCTCAGTCATGCGTTTCAGTTTTTTGTTTGTTTGCTCAAGTTGTTGATTCTTCCGGATCTCTTAGTGCCTTTGAATGGCATCATGACCTTCTGTACTGGTTATCTAGAATGGGTATTGGTGGCACTGTGTTCTGGTTTTGTTATTGTCACCTGTACCAGAAAGTGGTGCTGGGAGGCAGCTTCTCCATCTTCTTATATTTGTGCCATTGGGCTAAGGTTTCTTCCTCCTTGAACTTTGTGTAGCACTGTTAGAAGTTGTCCAGAAATTAGATTAAAATGTTATCAATGTACAGATGACATGTAACTGTTTTTCTTGTTCAGTTGTCTTAAGTGAAGTGGTGGGTGTACTGAATTGGTGCTTTGACCTGGATCTAGATAAATAAATCTAATAAACTGAAAATCGCTCAGTAATAAATATACCAAGAATACGAATGTCATCCTGAACATGGTAGCGTTCCCCCTAAAGGAGCAAGTTCACAGCTTGGGGTTGCTTTTAAATCGATGCTTGAAGATGGATGAACAGGTCTCACCTGGTGCAGGTAGCACCTTTTAATCAGCTCATTCACCAGTTTCTCCCTATCCTGGAAAAGCAAGATGTGCCAGCACAGTTGTACTCTGATCACATCTCGATTACTGTTATGTGTTCTGCTTCGGCTGTCTCTGAAGAGAACACTGCTGCAAGGCCAGTCACTGGCATAAGAAATGGGAACCCTTTCTTCTGAAGATTTCTGGGCATAATTAAAAGGCCTGCTCCTGCTTTTTAAAGAATAATGATAATTGGTTCTACAAGGAGTCTCGGAGCAGCTTACAGTCGCCTTCCCTTCCCCTCCCCTCCCCGCAACTGACACGCCGTGAGGTAGGTGAGGCTGGGAGAGTTCTGAGAGAACTGTGACTGACCAAGGGTCACTTAGTTGAATTCATGTGGAGGACTGGGAAATCAAACATGGTTCTCCAGATTAGAGTCTGCCGCTCTTACCCTTAAATATCTCACAACTGGGTTACTCGAAGGACTGCCAGTTTCCCATACAAACCTGCCTGCTTCGGATCATTGTCAGAGGCCCTTTTCTGTGTTTTTGAGGCCAAAGATAGAGACCGATTTCACACAAGGGCTGCACCGCGGTCGCGCCTCCCTTTGCCCCGCTTCCAGAGATGATAAATGATGCACTGGTCAATTTCCTACTCGAAACCGCGATCACGAAACTGCAGGAAAAATCGGGCGAAGCCGCGGGTCAAAATGCGGCCGCGCAGCTTTGAGTGAGAAATTGACCAATAGAAGCAAGGCAAAGGGAGGTGTGACCACGGCCCAGCTCTTGTGTGAAATAGGTCAGAGTTTTACCCCCATTTGTGGAACTCCTCTATATATTTTTGCTGGGACCTACTTTACTGAGTTTTAGGTACCGGGTGAAGCTGTTCTTATTTTTGCAGACCTTTTGGTAATAATGTCTATTGTTTTCTGTCTACTGTTCCATTTTCATTTTCTTAAGTATATTTTTAATATATATTTTATGATATAGTTAAAAGGGTACAGAAAAGAAAAAAAAGAGAGGGGAAATCAGAAAGTCATTCATCATCATCATCATCATCATCAGTTTTTACATTTTACCTGTGTTGAAGACACAATTCTAATATTTAATACATAGAACAAGAGTAGAATGTCTTCTCAACTCAATTACGATAATTTCTCAGTATATCAATGTACTTCTTCGTTTTAGAATCAACCCAAAGCATACCCATTTATGAACAATTTTGGATAATGATTTTAAAGTAACATTTATAGCTCTTTTTCTTTAGGTATTCTCTATATATTGCTTACTTAGTAATATTTTAAACTTTTAGTTTGTGACGTGTAATATTTTATAGTTTTTTATATATTAATAATGTCTATATTTCTCCCTGTCATTTTAATATTGCTGCTGCTGTTTTATTGTGCTTTTTTGTGTTGTTCTTAGCAGTATATAGTATTGATTATATGTTTCCTTTTGTTTTAATTATTGTGAGATGCATCAAGAAATGTAGTAGGCCTCAAATTATTACAGAATCAGTGTATTATACTGTGATTGGATCTTCCCCTAGAAATGCCACATTAGAAGGGGAGGTGGAATAATGAACCCTATGGAAGAAGTACATACTGATATAGGGAATTTGGCATTACAGTTTCTAGTTTCAGCTTTGCCGTGTGTGTTGATCCTGCTGGCTGTTTGGTTCTTGCAGCCATTAGTAGGGGCATTGGTACAGTCCTCACGTGACTTGCGAATACTGAACATACCGGATTGCTTGCTATCAATTTCTTTTTGGGAAAGTGCCCATAAAACTGAAACCCAAAGCGAATTTTAAATCATGGCTTAGGCCAATTGAGGCCTAATTTGAAATGCCTTAATTTGAAAAGTTAGTGAATAAAGGATTGTTCAGTTGTTGCAAACTATCTCTGTTGTAATTGCAGCCAAGAGGCAACCGGAGACATGGTGCATCATTTATCATCACTAGAGCAATTACAGGTAAATATGCATGGCTTGCTCTGATGGATTGTTCAGTGGCTGTTATATGGCTGAAATGGATGGTGTGTGAATTCATGGCTTTTGTTTATATAGTTTGTTATCTGATATTGTCATATACCTATTACGCTGGAGGCCAAGTGTGTTATGTACTGCATAGCAATTCACCAGAAGCATATGTTTTCTTTTGATTCTCCTTGGATTCTTTCCTCTTCCCACTTCTCTGATAGTGGAGCTCATATATACATAAACCAACAAACAGATCATCTGGTAGGTTGGGGGTCTTTCTCAATCACTGATTAAAGATTTTCTTTATGCACTATGAATCTTGCATATGCTACTGCAGAAGTGTTGTCAAATATGTTGATCGTTGTATTCATGTGGTGCTATCATGGTGGAAGCCTGGGGCTCTGGCTCGGGGGCCAGGGTGCCCCCAAAGCAGGCTGTGGATAGCAAGCCCCATTGAGCTCAGTGGGGATTATTTCTGAGTAAATATGTAAAGAATCAGTTTCTATAATGTGAGTTTATCTGTAGAGTTGGTGGAATGGGATGGACAAGTCTGCTGAATGCCTGTTTTGTGCCCTATGTTCGATTCTCAACATGGCCCCATCTGTGGATACTTAAATTCAGAGACTTAAAAGCCATGGATAGATAAGACAGATCTTTGAGAGAAAAGCCCCAGGTTTGCAGAAAAATTGGAAATATTTTTAAAAAAACTTTTGGAAAGGGTTAAAACTCTCAAAAATGATAGACGCGGTATCTGCAGCTTGAAAAAACCAATGTCCTCAGTAGCAGTTGATAGGCAATCACAATACTATTTCAAGTCCTCAAGCCTTGATTTCTGTCAGTAAAAGGCAAGGGGATGGGCCGGGCCTGTTTTGGCCTTTGAGGAAGGACACATTGGGGAGCAATCACGGGGTGACTTGATACCGCGGGAATTGTGTGACTCACCCAGGGCTAGCTACTTGCTATTGTTCAACAGCAGCTACCCCACAAAAGCCAGCGTGGTGTAGTGGTTAGAAATGCAGATTAGGATCTATAGACCCAGGTTTGAAACCCTATTTGCCATGGAAGCACAGTGGGTGAGTCTCACCCCAAACAGGCGGCACCCCAAACAGGTGTGTTGACATCGGCGCAATGATATCACATGGAAGTGATGTCATCACACTGGGGATGTCACGCGGTGACACTCTAGCATTTTGGCCAAAACTCTGTGGTAACCAGCGACATCACTCATGGTGACATCATCCCACCCCCCACTCCTGGAAGGCTCTCTCCTACCCCCCACCGGCAGAACAATTGGAGCTGGCAACCCTAAGGAAAAGAGAATGATGTGAACTGCTTTGAGTACCCATTATGGAGAAAGTTAGGGTATAAATGAAGTAAATACATAATAAATGTGCAGAAGATGGGGGCATCCAAAAGGTTCATTGGTGGGCGGGAAGGACAGAAGGAAGCAAGAAAAGAGGAGATACCGTGTGGGTTGTCAGGAGAGTGAAAGAGGAAATAGTGGGGGAGGGGGAAATGACATGCCGCATGCTTGTTCCAGCTAAAATAACAGATAAGAGTACTTGTTATTAGTCTCTGACTTTTATACCCCACTGGGTCCTCAAGGAACCTAAAAGTGTTGGCTTGTGTTACCATAGGTGTTATGCTGTTTCTAGTACGGGAGATTTTATCCTGGCTAGCACTACTCTTCCAATGCTGTAACAAGAAAGACCAGTTGAGTGGTTTGTTGATATCCAAGGCCTATAGGAGGTCATGTCCTTTGTCATTATGGTATAGGTATTCTTGGGTTATGTAGCCATGGAGCTTCTGTGTCCTGCTTCTGCAATGCCTGGAGTTCTGGTGTTTGCCTCTGTGGAACCCTTTGTGCCCAGTTCTGGGAGCTCTTGGAACAGAGAGCAGTGACACAAAACTTTATCCTAAAAATAATGTCTATGTCCTAGATCTGACAGAAAGTGAGTGAGGCATTGAATAAACAGTTGCAAGATAATGCTTAAAGAGATTTTTGTTAAAGTTGTGGTTAAAAATTTGAGTGAGCTCAGAAGAGCAGAGTTAAATGTGAGATGGGTGAGGCAAGAGAACTTGGAGGATGGGATGCATGGTATTTATCAGGAAGACAGATAAGTAGTTACTTGAAAGAACTAAAAGAAAATGAAGGTGGCTATAAGCTTAAGGCTCTGTTGGATCTCTTGATCAAAAGGGATATCTGAAAAATTAATCTGGAGTAAGTGTAGAGAACATAAATTTCCCTTTATCAGTTGTCTTGTTTTTGGTTTTTTTGCAAGGATTTTGTGTTCAGTCACACCTTTTTTATTTTATTTGTAGGTCCTGCCTTATTTATACTACAGTATTTATGGTATAGGTAAGTTACTTCATTTAAACTCAATCTCTGTAAGGCCCTGCCAGAAGTCATTTTTTGGCCCTGCAAGAAGTCATGTTGCTCAGTTGGTCCTCTTAACAGCATTTGGAGAACCTCTGCTCTGAAGCATTTATCTTTGAAAATAATTTGTATTAAACAAAATAATGCTGATTAATCGTATGCATTTATCTTTGGGATACTGAGTTGACATAGTACTATAACAATTGATTTAAAGCTCTCTCTCTCTCTCTCTCTCTCTCTCTCTCTCTCTCTCTCTTTCTTTCTTCTGAAGAGCTGTACAGGGGTACCTCTGCGTACTGCTAAGGAATTCAATTGTCCTTGATATTTATTCCATATATTGAGATTGGGTAACAAATTACTGCTTTTATGGCAGAATAGTATAGTTCAACTGAAATCAAAACAAAATCTGAATCTCAAAAAATCCTCTGCTTGCTTCTTATTAAAATCTAGCTGTTGCTGTCCTGAAGTTCATATGTATTTGCTGTCACATTTCAATTTAAGCATGTTTCTACTTCCAGTCCTGCAAAGTTTTCCCTTCCTGCTGGACTCGTCCGCCTGGTCAGTAAGCAGATCAGCTGGCATTTAGTGCTTGCAAGGTAGGTGGCTGTGTTCATAACTGGGAAATGGGGATCAGTTGAGACTCACAGTGCGAACTTGTTCTTGTAAGTCAGAAAGGTTGATCTTTCTGCTTTGAAAAAAATGTTGAGCTTGGTAGACTTGTACAGTGAAATTTGTTTTATGTGAACTGTTTGCATCAGGCCTGAAAAAATACAAGACAGCAGTGCCAGTGTAGTGAAGGGGTAGGCTTGGTTGACATAACACATTTGGGTCAATGGTTTTTATGATAAAATCCCATTCTGGGTCAACCTACCCCGTTTTAGAAATTTACTGTGAGGATAAAGGTGAAGGGGATCCTCCCCTATGTATACTAGTCCACACTGCTTGATCTCACCTGCTCCATTTAATTTTTTTTAGTTTAAAACATTTTTATGCCACCTGTCTACCCAAGTAAGAGTCCTAGGTGGCAAGCATTAAAACATCAAGGCGTTAAAGCAGGATTTTAATATGTAAGCATATATAAATATTTAAACAATTCAATAAAACCTATAAACACATATAACACCAAAATGGGGGGGGGGGAGTAACTGTTATTGGGGATATTCCTGACAAAACAAAAAAGTCTTCACCCATTGACAGAAGACAATGATAGAGGGAGCCAGACAAAGCTCCCTGGGGAGGGAGTTTCAAAGTTTAGGTGCCATGACCAAGAAGGCAGGGGCACCCAGAGCAGGGCCTCCAAAGAGGGGTCAGAGAGATTGGGCAGGTTCATATGGGAGAGGTGGTCCTTAGAGCAGGGGTGTCCAACATAAGGCCCGGGGGCCGGAACCAGCCCATCCAGGGCTCTTATGTGGCCCGCAAGCAACTAGTGCAAGGAAGGGAACAGGAGACTGATCGGGGGGGGGGGGGTTGTGGCTTCAGCATGGAACAACCTTGTTTGCAGCAGTCAAGCAGCGTGGGAGCGTCTGCCCAGTGCTGCACTGCTGGCTCTTCAGTTCACCCTTACAGGTTTTCCTTTACACTCCCCTCCCAGCCCATGAAGCTTTGCAGTGATGATACACCAACTCGGAGCTTACCAGCTGCTGTCCTTTATACAGTTTATATCTCTGGTACTTGGCATTACGTTTTATGACACACATGGGCCGGCCCAAGAAAGTGACATTTATGTCAGATCCGGCCCTTGTAGCGAATGAGTTCGACACCTCTGCCTTAGAGTATGCTGGCCCCAAGCTGTATAGGGCTTTAAAGATCAGTACCAGCACCTTGAATTGGGCCTGGGATCAAATTAGAAGCCTGTGTAGATGGAACAAGACTGGCATGATAATTTTGCCATGACTGGTGTGCATTAGAGGTGTGTATGTGTGTGTATTGGGGGGGGGGAGTTCACTGGTGTTGAACCTGGGTTGGAAACGGCATGGGAAATGTGAGATTTCTTGTACCCCTGGCACAGTCCTTTTGCAGTCTTGGTCCAACCTGCTCAGTGGAGGACTGCTGGCAGGAAAGGAAAAACCATATACTGCTGAATTACTGTAGTGTGAAATGCTAACATTCAAACCTTCCATGGAATTCTGCATTGTGTTTTTGGGGAAATATGGAGTTAGTGGAGTCCCTTGAGTCAATGCAGAATGTGGCAGCCATACCTGGCAAGCAGTATACTGAGTTCAGATTCATAACTTGTGAAATGAGGATCAAAATTCTTATCAGAGACGCAGGGTCTAGGATGAATAGTAGCAGGGTTGAAACAAGCGCAATGCTGCGAGTATGTGGATGCGTTTCAACAGCAGAGAAGAAAGTGCTCAGGTATTTTTCATCGCCTGTATATCAACTGGTTTGCTGCAGTATTCTTTTTCTATCCTTTCTGGTGGATACGTACTTTGTAGATAGCAGAATTTGGATTTCCCTTGACTGTATGAGCCATGACTCCTGGGTCTTTTCCTTCGTCAAAGTCATAAAAAGAACATGTGAGCTACAGGGGGGGTTTCTCCTTTCTCCTGTGCTCTTGGTATCTGTGAGCTGGTTCATGTGTTTTGTGAATGTTGAAAATATTGTGCTAATAAGTATCCCGGTGAGACTACAGACTCTGCGAGGCCCCTGTTTGTTTTCTCTAGTGTGACATCGATAGACCTGTACACATAGATTTTAGTAGTGCTCATCATTCAGTGTCATTCACTCAGCATTTTTAGTATGTTCCCATTTTAAATGTAGATCCTGTGGTCCAAAAGCTGTCTCACCCACTTAGCAGGGTTTTTGAGGGTACAATGGAAGAGTGGGGAACCTTCATTTTTTTGGAAGAAGGGTGACATAAAAATACGTTAAATAAGTAAGAAGCAACATTATGTTGGTATTTTTACAAGGCCTTTTCCCTCCCCAGGAATGGAAAACTGCTAGCAGCTGTTCAAGACCAGTGCATAGAAATAAGGTAAGGTATTCCTGTATGAATTTGCCTAGTCCTTAAAACAATCTTCTGACGTTTTTGACGACTGCTCTTGCTTTCAGAGGATAGGCAAGAGATGGCCCTTTCTAATAGTGCCACAGAGCGTTAGTGGCTGGTCATTAACTGCCTTATTTGGCTAAGATTTTCCCTGCTTACTGTCACTCTTATTGCTCTTCTGTTGATTTTATGGTTTCACATGTACTGTTGTTATATTTACTGTGTATGCTCTGCATAAATAATAAAAATATAGTTTCATGAATGTTTTCCCTTTTAATTTTTTGGTCAATGGTCAGACGTCTTACTGAATGAAATGCATTCCAAATGAGACAGAAAAAAATATAAATAGTAGTTGTGGCCTAATGGTTCCATCTAATTAATTTTTTAATTTTAAGGGCCTCTCTGTATTACTTTATTTTTATTTTTATTATTTTTTTGCTTTATTTTAAATTTTTATTAACTTCCTTTATAGCCCACCATTCTTGCTGATACTCAAGGTAGATTAACAACAACAATAATAACAAAAACAATACACTCAGACAGCAAACACATCCAGGAAACAATGCAGTAGAACTAAGATTACATAACTGGAAAACCCTACTTTAAAAAAAAGGTCTGAAGTGAAGACTGCTATGATGCAGTGACTAGTGTATTGGCATTAGACATTGAGATCAATCGGTTGCAATGGGAGCAGTAAAATTCTGTTCTGCCATTAGAAATTTTAGTCTGGATCCAACCCATCATTTGATATATGTTTGTAGTGCCCTCAATGTCAAATAGCAACATGGCAAATTTAGCTATTCTTCATGCATGTGATCTCCAAAGTTGGTTGTTTAAAGGCTTCAGCACTGAACAAGAAATGCAGGAGCTTTTCTTGGGGACAGAAAGGGAAATGTTGAATGGCATTAAGGGGAATATTACCTTTGTGGATTACGTTCTGTGAGTGATGATCCTATGATTTCCTCAGCCTACTGTATTCCTTTCCAGGTTACTTTAGTGTGGAATAAATATTCAGGGGCGGAGTGGGATCATGGTGGGTAGTTCCATGTCCACTTTACACATGTATATTGCAAAGAAGTTGGATATGTACAACTGTACATGTGTACCTCCAGGGTTCCAAATTGTGTGGAAAGTGTTCTGCGTTCATGAATATACAGAGGTTAGGAACTAAGCCTGCTGCTGAGGTCCTTCTCTCTGTCGTCATCCCCCCTGCGCTTCATTGTACAGTTTTTGCATTGGTTGAACAGCCGTCACAGTTGCTATATATCATATGGCATTAGATATTCTACATCCTGGGACAGCGGCATAAGCAACACCTTAGTGCATAAGTGTCTCCAGTTTGTTAGTTTTAATTTATTTCATATATTTCTAACCCACTTAATAATTCTGAATGTTCTTATGATTACTTACTACTGTATGATCTACAAACCTTTTTTTATAATTCACTACTGTTTCTGCTTTGCTTCCATGTAAGCATTACTTCTTGGGTGCAGAATTTCAGTGATGAGAAGGCATATTTACTTATGTTGTAGCAGTCGACTTGAGTCGGTTTATTTCTTCTGCTAATGTGCAAATACATATATATATATATATATATACACACACACACACACACATTGGTATATTTCTTTTGCTTAAACTATCAATAAGCTACCTATCCATGAATCATGGCAGGCATGTATTGTGTAAATTTAATGTTGAAATTTAACATTGCAGGTCTGCAAAGGATGAGTTTGGGTCTGTCATTGGGAAATGCCAAGGTATGTTGTGTTTCATAACACACCTTCAATTTTCTTTTAATTGTTAAATTGTAACAATTAAGGGCTGATGGTTATATTATGGCTGTTACTTGAAGGTGCATTTAATTCTTCCGTATAGTGGGTTTTATATAATCAGATGTATGGATGAGTTCACCTCATGATTGTGGCGTATTTTAAAAATAAAGATTGATTACTAATAAGGATGAGCATAAACTGGTCCACAGGCCAAAATTCGGCATGAATGCAGCCCATTTCATAGCCCCTGAACTGACATTTGAGGAAGGTGCCTTCCCCAAATGTTTATGGGACTTTTGCCCGGTTTGTTCAGCTTTTTGGGCCATTTCAGTCTAACAGTGGATGGATGCACAGCTGCGAGCAAAATGGGGGAAGCAAAATAGATGGGTTAAATGGTGGCCAGCCATTTAACCCTTCCCAGTCAATCTCTCTCCCCCCCCCCCCCCCCCCTCAATCCGTGACTTGCTGCAGCTGGGAGAAAGGGGGACCCAAACTGGCTGGTTCAGTTCAGGAATGTTGGGCTCAGTTCGGTTTGGGGACCACCCTGAATCTGAACCAGACTTTTTGTGTTTGTGCCCATCCCTAAATACTAATGAGGTGAAAACTGTATAGAAAAAGGCTTTTCTAAAATCCTCCCTGCTTGGGCCAGATGGCCCTTGCTGGTAACACTATCGCGTGATTCCTGTTTCCTGCGCAAATGGCTTGCCAGATGGCCAGGCCGCATCTCCATATACAAGACACTTTGACACCTCTGCCAAGAGAGCGACTTGCCGGCGCCTTCCCAAGCATGGGATGAGCTGTGCCCAGTACATTACCACATCAAAAGCATTCCCTGACATGACACATGGTCAATAGAAGAGGCTGGAGTGGGATGCCCAACTCCGAGCCAATCGAAACATACCTGGCCTGACAACGTATGGTAACCAGAGATTGGAACGCCTCCCCACTCTCTCACTGTTGGGTAAATGGCCATACTTGGTGGTGACGGAGGGGGGGGTATATCTGCAATGATCCATATGGGAAACAGGAGAGTTAGAGGAGAGTTAAGGGAATTCCTCTCTGGAAACAAAGAGTTGTTTTGGACTGAATGTTTGCTGTTAACATGGAGTGAGACTGTTAGGCAGCCAAGCTGGTCTAGCTGCCCACAAAATCATGGGGTTTCTCTTCAAGATTCCCTGGTGAGACCTTGGACTATTTGCACACCAGCCTGGTAACTATGAATTACATCTATTGTCTAGCTAGAGCAGAACTATAGATATCTTTTGTTTCTTATCTTTTGCTAGTCTCATGTTATATGCATGCTTGTGCACTGAATAAAGATAATATATATTCAATATTATCTGGACCTATTTCCTCTGTTGCAACCTGATCTCTAAGAGTGACTCTTGTGTCTAAAGCCGTTCGCCTAAGGAGGCTACCACTGTGGTACTTAATTGTTTGCAGCCCTGGTGCAGAGCTGGTAACGTGGGTAAAGAGAGATCCTGGTGGCAGACTACCGGTAAAGCCTGGAGAGTATACAGACATTCTCCTGGCATTTGTTTAATTGTTCCTGAATGCTTGGTTTCTCTCCCCATCCCTGGACTGGGGTGAGGGAGAGAAACCTTGACAAAAACATCCCTACCTGCATTGCCATTTGGGAGCCTCCTCAAAACCCTTTATCATGTAAATTAGGTCTTGGTTTAGGACTTCTTTAAAAAGATTATTTTTTTCCAATCTTGTTTTCCAAACCAGTTCTTATGCTTCCAGTACAGTATTCAAGTGTGTTAATCTAGCAATGGTCTTCTCCATTTCCAGAGGGGGAGCCATCTTTAGCCTCCAGGTGGTAGCGTGGGAACCACAGAGATGGAAATACATGGCAAGAAGTCACATGACATCAGCCATATGCTAGGAACACGAATAGCCAGAGTTATACCCTCACTGGTGAGGAGAGGGCGCCATGTTGCAAATGCACATTGGAGGAACCACTGATATGGGTAGCTGGCCAGGAAGGGAGAAAAGACAAAGGGAAACAGATGAGCTTATGTTGGGAGGGGCATGAAACCCTTCTGCGTTAGAACCGGTTTCTCTTCACCAACGAATGATCTTATTGTGCTGTCCTGTTCCTCTCAGTATGCGTGTTCTTAATACATGAGCACTTAATACATGAGCACTTAATACATGAGCACTAAACAAGAGGTCCTAACAAAAGGGGAGGGGGAAGTTGGCTGTTATATAGAATTTTGTGGCCTGGCAGGTGGGGCTATGCAACCCATCTCAGGGTCACAACCTGTGGGCTGAAGATCACTGCACTATAGCATTTCTTATAGATAAGAGGGGAGTTTGTTCTAATTAAATATTTGAAATCAAGGTTTGCCAGAATTAAGGAAGGTGAGCAGGTTGGTTTATGATCCTCAGTTTCATCCTATATGTGGTGCTCTCCAGATTAACAGAAACAGAAGGGAAGGGGGTCATGTGGACCCGTGGAATATTTTAGAATGGTGACAAAATAGGTGTTTTGCATAGCAAGCAAGGTGCTGTAAGATGCATTTGTATCAATATATCCCTGCATTCAGATTTCACCAAAACATGGAAAACATAGTTTGATTAAATTCTGGTGTAGTGTTGTGTCTGAATGCAAGCTGCCCAGCAAAGTATGGCATGCTAAAACTGGGGCTCTAAGCCGTGGTTTGCACCTGCCTTCTGGTTATCTCTAATCGTCATTGTGGTTTTTGGATGTGGAAATTCCACTTTCTTTAATAGCACTGCCCCTCTCATTCTCCTGCTGGGATCTGCTTCAGCTACCAAGAGTGCTTCTGAGCAGGTCCTCGTTCCTTCTCACTTGCTGCCAGTTCTTTATGCCTCTTTCCCGTCATTAAAGAACTTGGAGTACCCAGTGGAATTGATGGGCAGTAGATTCAGGATGGGCAAAAAGAAATAGGTTTTTTTTTACTCAGGAGTGATTAAAATGTAGAATTCACTACCAGTGGGGCCCATGTATCTTCAGGACCATCACTCGTGGTATACCCCCTGAAGAGCACTACCCTCAGCAGATACTTACTTGTGGTCCCTGGCCTGAGAGACATCCGGCTGTCCCTGGCCAGGGCCAGGGCTTTTAGTGCCCTGGCCCCAACTTGGTGGAACACTCTGCCGAGTAACATCTGTGCCCTGTGGAATTTATTTGCAGTTCTGCAGGGCCTGTAAGGCAGAGATGTTCTGCCAGGTGTGTGGATGAGGACAGCGTTGATGTCCATTTGGCTGGTCCTCTTACCTCTTGCCTCCCCCCACAAGGTGGTGGCACAATTAGAAGCTCTGACTGCCATCTAATTAAGTTGATTATTGTGATTTTATTGTATTATTAATGTTTTAATCTTAAGTTAGTATGATTATTTAGTATGATTATGGTTGTTTTATTTATTGTTGTACACTGCCCTGAGCCTTGTTTACAGGGAAGAGTGGTGTAAAAATTGAATCTAATAAATAAATAGTAATGGCCACAAGCATAGATGGCATTAAAATGGGATTAGAGAAATTCATGAAAGGAGAGGTTTGTTAGTGGCTGCTAGCCATGGTGACTAAAAGGATTTTCCACATTTGGCAGCAAGCTTCTGAATACCAGTTCTCTCTCGAGGGGAGGAGGACACTCTGATACGCTTGGGTTCCTCTTCCCACAATCTCTGGAGGCAGGAAATTTATTGCACTTTCCATGGGGGGGGGGGGAAGCCCACCCTCAATCGTTTTCCTGCCTCCACCTGAGAGAGTAGTGGATTTAGAGAGCGCCTGAGATTTTCCCTTAAGGAGCTCCTTTGTTTGCACTTTGTCTTTCTCTTTCCACGTGTGTGCCTTTCTGCGTGCCTTTCCCTTTGTTTAAAAAACAAATGTTCTTCTTCTGGCTTCATACTCCTGCCTTTTGCCTGCTGCTTCAGACATGGCGATGTCTGCAGCTGAGGTCTTGGATCATGGGACCTCCACCGAGGGAGAGTTGCAGGAGGTGGTCCCCAGGCAACAGAGACGGAAACCCCTGCAAACCCGCTTGCCCAGCTGTCCCACTGTGGCAGAGCTCCTGGAGAGAGCCATTGGCCATGAATTGCCTGGCTTGGATCATAAAGAAGCAGGCTCCATTTTTGGTGCCAAAACTGCACCTTTGTCTGATCAGCTGGGATGACCTGTATCAGCCTATCAGGCCTGCTCAACGCATCCTTCTGCGGCCTGTGTCTCAAAGGAATCCTTGTCCATCCCTACCTTGATGACTGCCTTATAACGTCACCTTCACAAGAGCAGGCACCCAGGGAGATTCAGGACACTATCCAGTGCCTCTCCAGTCACAACTTCCTAATCATCCTCCAGAAGAGCCAACTAACACCTCCCCAAGTCATTATACATTTGGGGTCAGTGATAGATTTAATCTGGAAAATAGTTTCTTCCACTAGACAGAGCAAAGAAAATTGTTCAGACCGTGAAACAGGTTCGCTCTGTGAAATCACTTGAGGATCCTAGCATGTCTGCTAGGTCACATGATTGCAGCTGTTGAGCCAGTCCCTTGGGCTTGGGCACATTCTTAGGTACTTTAGTGGACACTATTGCCATATCAGAGGCTCATAGCCCTCTGAAAGCTCATCAGAGTCAGCATCAGTCAGCTTCTCAGGAAAGACCTCCTTTGATGGACAAACAAAAAACATTTGAGGAACCATTCACAAGCACTCTTTGGGTGCGATTTGTCAACCAGTTACAGATTCACCTAACAGTAATAGGATCCAAACAACATATTACTAATGTCAACAAGAATGTTATGTGGAACTTTATCAAAAGCCTTATTTAAGATAAACTATGTCTACAGCATCCCCTTGATTTAGCAAGGTAGTAACTTTTTCGAAAAAAGAGATGAGGTTAGTCTGACATGACTTGTTCTTGAGAAACCAATGCTGGCTCTTAGTAATCACAGCTATCCTTTCTAAATGCTCAAGGACTGACTGATGATTTGTTCTAAAACTTTTCCAGGTATAGACCTGTTGGTGGTTACCCAGATCCTCCCTTCCCCCCTTCCTGATGATGGGGACAACATTTGCCTACATCCAATCTTCTAGCACCTCACCTGTTCTCCAAGAATTCTCAAAAATCCCTGGCTGGATTAGATGAACTTTGTAACATCCCAAGTGTATCAGAGTGTCCTCTTTCGAGAATGGAACATTGGACTTACCGTGAAGGTTCCTTCTTCTCGAGGGCAAGAAGGACATTCTGGACCCACCCTAGTTGGAGGGTCTCAGTTCAGCCTATTATGCTTCCTAAAGGATGAATGAACGCTAGCCTCCGTGGTCATTGTTCTTTCACTGTTCTAACAGTTTATCTTTGCCTGTATGGTTTGTTTCATTGGGTTCTGTCAGCCTTGTTGTCAGTTTGTTTGTTTGGCACACACTGCGTATTATTATCAGCTACGGAAGTCTCCAGACTGAGGTTGGACTTTTCCTCTCCTCTGGAGTTGGAAAGTGCAATCAATTTCCTGTATTCAGGGATTGTGGGAAGAGGAACCCAAGTGGTATTAGAGTTCCTCCTTGCCCTTGAGAAGAAGGAACCTTCGTGGTAAGTCCAATGTTGCCTTCTGAGAGGCAGCATGTGTGTGTGTGTGTGTGTGTGTGTGTGGGAGGCCTCGGTCTCTGTTCTCTGTTTGTTGGCCTTCCAGTGGTTGGCCACTGTGGATTAGGTGCTGGATTAGATGCTCTACTGGTCTGATGAAATGGAGCCCTTCTTATGTTATCATAAATCTCCATCCTTGGCCTATAATGCGTATGTAGAAGAAAAAGGCATTCATTCTAACAGTGTAATCTTCTCACCCATGTTAATTCTGGCCAATGTATTTTTCCTCCCACAGTTCCGAGGGATCCTAACCCACAGTGGAGGCGTGTGTCTTGGAGTCATGATTGCACTTTGCTCGCCTATGGAGAAAGTACTGGAACTGTCAGAGTATTTGACTTGGTCGGCAGTGAACTTCTTGTCATTTCACCGGTATTTACTTTTTATGTTACAGATTTCAGAAGTCCAGTTTGCATGCAAATTAGGACTTCATGGCTATTATAATTTTAATATTACACAATTATGCTGAGAGCTTGCATTGCAGACACTTTATTGCTTATTTGTTGAACAGTTGTTTTGTGTTTTTATTGGTAAACTTGGATTCAGTGTTTGTGTACAAACTAAACAAAGTACATTAATTTTATTTGTGTCATAAAGTTACTGAATCTTGCCAGAAGTTATACTGCTTTGTAACCCTCTAAAATTTATGCTTTAGTATTGGAACTAGCATGTTGACCTTGGAAGGAAGACTGCTTCTTGTAGAAATGGAAATTTGCTTGGGCAGCAGTTTACTTGTTTCATTTTAATTTAGCTGTGAATATATTTACCAGGCTTTCTAGTCGGTGGGTTATCAATTCTAACTTCCGGGAAGCTGAAAAAGGCACAGTTTCTAGAAGGATCTCAGTAATCATTGAAGTTAATTTGCTGCATGTAGCATAGCTGATACATCCTTGAACAATTATCTGTTCCATAATTTTATTTAGACAATATGTTGGTCCTCTTCTAATGAACGGCGCTCAAAAGTAAGCATTTTCTTGTATCCAACCATCTATGCAGGAAGACTTGCAGTGTTCCCACATTCCTCTCCATTCCTGCAACCAACCCCCAGAAAGGTCATTCTTAGGCTTGCTGGATTTATACATATGAGTAGCTGTGTGGGTTGAGAAGCTGGAGAGAGGAAGGTTAGCAGGAACACTTGCAGAAGGAGCAGTGATTCATGCTCTTGTCCCTCTTCATTTTGTCCCTCCAACCCAGAGTTGTTCTTTCATATGGGTCGCATGCAGGGGTCATTTCGTAGAAAAAGAGCTAGGGGAACTCATTAGCATAACTCATTAGCATATGCCACACCCCCTGACATCACCGGAAGTGTGTCATAAGGCCACACACCCCGCCCCCAACGGTCCCGGCCGCCACCGCCGGCCTTGCAGCTCCACTGCCGAGCCCCATGAGGGGCCCGGCGGTGGACCTGCAAGGCCGGCAGGAGTGCAAGGAAGCCCCGCGAAGGCCCTCCCTGGCCCCAGGCAGGCAGGGGTGGGGAGAGGCAGGGAGGAAGCAACTTACCCTCCCTCTTCTCCTGCCTCCTCCTGGCTGAATGAGGGCCGGAAGCGGGGCGGCCGGAAGCAGGGGGCGGGGCTTCGTCATGTGCCCCGCCCCCGTACCTCACCCGGGGGAACTGCGTTCCCCCCCGAAATGACCTCTGGTCGCATGTATCTGTCAGGCACTGGAAGAGATCTTGGGAATGGAGACAAGTGTGGGGAAACTTTGCATCCCATTCATGGATGGTTGGCTACACACTGATAATATTTTTATGATGACTTCTTCATGCTTGTCTAGCAGCTTCTGATTGGAACTGATACTCAATCTGAGCAGTTTAAGATCTTGCATTTTTTATACCTGATTTAGTACAGGAAATTTAAAAGTTGCCTGCTGAAGTAGTGCCTTCCAAATTTGTTTTAAAATGCCATTTTTGTTTTGGTTTAGGGCTCTAGCTGTCCTGGAGACTTGACCTATGCTATAGCAGGATTGATCTTTCTGGAATACAAAGCAAGCGCCCAGTGGTCAGCTGAACTGCTGGTCATCAATTACCGCGGGGAACTAAAAAGCTACCTTGTAAGGTAAATATGTATGCAGACTATACCCACCCCTATTAACCTGAAATCCTTTAAGTAGAATAAGTGATATTCTCTTTCTGGTTTAGTGTTGGAACAAATCAGAGCTTCCAAGAGAGCCATAGTTTCAACTTCAGAAGTAATTATGTCCATGGAATAATGGCAGTAATTTACCATCCTGTACACCGGTAAGTTTTTTAGTCTAAATTAATTTTGTAGTGATAGAATACTGGTGCTAAATAGCCATGTGCTTTATACAGCTGAGTTCCATTTTGCAGTAGGTTGTCTCTCCCCATCCCCTCGCATCTTCTGAATTGCAGACAACTGAATTACAGGACATACCATTCACAGGTATGTGTAGGAGCTAATGGAATTCTATTCATTTTTTATTTATGATGGCTGAAATACATTCCTAGTTATGCTGATCTTAATCTTAAGGTGACCTGCAATGCCCATATCC